AAATCAAATAAGAAATATGGAAGAATCAGTGTGAAAACACATAGAATCTAAACCTATAAAGCTGATGGAAATGGTAAGATTCATACATGATTTTCATTGTTTAATTTTTCATAGATTGTGCTTATATATTCATTAGTTTTTATTTTTACAAGGTTAAAGAGATCAGAGCATGGTTAAACAATCACAGGGGAAGTTTTGCAATGTTTCAGACAAAAAGCATGGTTAAACAATCATATGATTGTTGAGTTGAATTCTTATATCTGGAAGTAAATTAATGAATTATTGTGCTGCGGATTTGTTTATTTTCTCGGATTTTTTTTCGTTCCATGGTTATTTACTTATCAACTGTCTCTTATATACCCTTTCTGATTTCCTTTTCGTTTATTTTTATTTGTATACAATTTAAGCAAAAAAAATACCACACCCCATCTCCATTCAATAAAGACAACCAGTCAATTAAAAGAACATGTTGCTTTTTGTCACAATGATTTTCTGCAATATGGGAATGTTACGATCAATGAAGAGACAAAATCCATCACCCTGATTATGAGTTCATTTATGTTCTGTTTTGGTTCTGGATTGATTCATCATGATGGGTAAAAATGTCTTTTTTGTTGCATAGCATATTGAAATGAATTTAATTTTGAACAGGATTACGAGTACGCGAGCTACAACCCTATAGCTTATGATCTTCCGAATCATTTCTGTGAATAGGCTGCAAATTATCACACTGATACACCTCATGTTTTGGATTATAACATGTACCCTGGTAAAGTTTTCTAATTATTTTTTTTAATGCAAAATCTCAAATTAAAAGTTGCTATTTGTTTCAATTGGCATTATTTCAACATGAATAGATTTGGGTCCAATTTTTTTTTTATTTTTTTTTAAATTCTTGCCGTGTATTTAACTATTTTGGATAATTTTCGCCAACAACCAACAACTTTCTTAAATTCGTGTATACCTACATTTACGTGGTCTATCACCGTCACACATCAAAATGTCATTTAGGTAATATTACTCAAGCTGTAAGATGTTAGATGAAATGGGGTTTTCTTCTTTGTATCTAATCTTTACAGGAAGTTGAAAGTAATTTTCATGCACAACACCTGCTCGATAAAATGCCTGAACCAAATGTTATTATTATTTTGTTTTTAAAACCTCATAAAATGTTCCACAACTGCTGCTTTGTTGCCACATATCTCTCAAAAGCTAATGTTTCGGCGTGTATAATTCATTAAAGAATTAAATAGTTATTTCAAAATGACTTGATGGATTCATGTTGCAGACCAATTGTTTGTTGCTGAGATGAGTATGAATGATTCTTGGTTCCGTGATAGTGGTCCAACTGTTAACTTCTTCTTCCATTTCAGTTTCCTTTTGATCAATTCTCTGTGTTACCCTATAGTTTGTTGTAAGTGAGTAGAAATCAAGTTCAGGACATAATGTTGCTGATATTGATTGGAACTTCAATAGTTGGCGATGCCAGCTTTTTATTTTAATAGATTTAGATATTTTATTTTATAAAATAATAAATATTATCGATACATATATTTGGAACTTCAAAAGATTTACATCATGTATAAAAAAAATAACACCCACGTTCCCATCCTCTTAAATTTTTCTTAAAAGATTTCCATTAATTTTGGTTTTGCTTTTTCCTATTAGATTCTTTCAATGGAGAGGATTCTCCGTTTTGCACAATCCATAATTCTTGAAGGTGGAAGCATTCATGTAGATGCTGAAGGTCACAACTTTTATATTGTTGTTTGTGTATTTTATTATTAGGTAGATTTTTACTAATTTTATATCTCATATTTTTTTCTTAGGGACATGGCTTACTATGGAAGAATGGTTATTGAACAAAAACAAGAATGCACGTCTGACCAAAGAACAAATAAAAGATGAACTTAAAGCCTATCCTGGAGTCAACAAGATTATTTCGTTGCCCCGAGGAGTATTTGGTACATTTTCAAAAAGTATTAAATGCAAGAAATAACAATGTATGGACACATACACAATATGTGGTGTTTTTTTAGTTCTTACCTGATTTCTGTTTTTAGTTAGAAATTCAGGAAAAAATGAATTTTTATTATTATTATTTTGGTTTAAATTCTTATCGCTAACTTTTCTGCAGGTTCTGACATTCTAATAGACAATGAAGGAAATTTGAAGCTAGCAGATTTTGGTCTTGCCCGTTCATTCTCAAATGATCACAGTGGGAATCATACAAATCGTCTCATCACTTTATGATATAGGTATCCACGTCAGCACTCTCTCTCTCTCTCTCACACACACACACACACTCACACACACCAAAATCTTTCGGTTTCTAACCGGTTGGTTGTCTAATCACCCTTTGATATCTTTTATTTTTTTTTTTATTTTTTTTTTGTTTTTACATTGCAAAAAATAGAAATGTACTTAACCTCTATGCTCTAATGTTTACCGATAATAACAACATACTTAGAATTTTCAATCAGTTTTGTTAATGGACAACCTCTCATATTGCATCTTCTATTTATCGCTTCAATAAACTGCTTATTGGAACTTTTTTTGTTGTAGGGCACTCTAAATATTATGAAGATTCAAGTTCTCAAACTGTTGGAATGATTTGATTATAGGGACATTTTAATGTTGCATTTTTTTCAAATATTAGTTATTATTTTGTTCTTCAACCAGATCTGACTTGTTCGAATAATTTGATTTAGGGGCAGGGGCATAATCGAAAAGTTGATGGTAAACTTCTATTCCTTTTTTTGTCCAGATGTTTGTAAAATGCTTGTATTATTTACAGTTGGTTTGTTCTTTGGAGGAATCACGGTTGTCGGTTATTTTTTTGTTTCGACATCCTTTCACAAATTGATAGAGGTAAGCTACTTGCTTACCTTTGTTTTCTTCTTTCTAATAAAAAGATTTACTATTCCTATGAACATTCAATGGGTTTTAAAATATTTTTAGGTTAAATTTTTGTGTTTATCTTCTTTTCTTTCTGCAGGTATTTGCTAAAGGAATGGACTTTCACTTGCTATAATTGAATAAATTTTTGGGTTTTATTAACCTTTTTTTTGTTAAAGCGAACATATATTTTATAGATAGACTTTCACTTGCTATAATTGAATAAAATTTCCAAAGTACAATGATGCAATAGGAAGAAATGGAAGCATGTTGCTATTTATTGTATTAACACATTTTTTTTCCCACTTGTAGGCTGGAGGTTTTTTTTGGATCAATGTAAACATCCAGGAAGAACATTTAACGGATCAGTTGAGTAGTCGCATGGTCCGGTTAAATTATGTTGTTCTTTTGATCTAAGAAAATGATCTCCTTTTGAACATATTGTACTTTAACAATTAAGCAACATACTTTACAAAGGAATATTGTACAACTGTTTCCATACTACAACATATTTGACTATTATGTATTTGTAAATGAGTGAATTGTAGACAATAGCAACATACTTTACTCGTCTTAACCGAACCTCGCGGAGCGGGGTTTCCTAGCTACTTGGTATTAAGGGGATCTGATTGTACATTGCTATTAAGAGGTTTTCCCTAACTATATAACCTAATACTACATTGCTATTACGGGACACCTCATTGTTTCTACTTCTTATTGTTATGCTTCTTCTGTTTCCACATGATACCTGTTTTCATCATCAACCCATTAGTATTCAAAAAGGCTTCATGCATCATCAATCTATGTTATAAAATATTAAAATTTAATACACATGTAGTAAAATACCTTTTGCCAAGAATCCAGGATTCAATACAGCCCATACCTGTATAAACTATTAAAACAAGAAGCATGTAAGATTTTTCAGCTTTTTAGACACCTCTAATCGACTGTAAAATGTAAATACACCCAAAATAAATAAATAAATATAAAAATACAGTTGAGGATTCATGATGAAATAATAATTGAACACTTTGTAAACAGACTGAATGATGTTTCTTCTCCTCTGCATGTGGTGAGGAAATTTAAATAAAGAGGATCACAAATGGAAGGGGGGAATTTTGAATATAAATAAAAAACAGACACAGCTTAATAATTTCTAAATTATAATACTTTACTACGAGTATATGACATAAATGATAGCCACAAGAGAGATCCATTGTTGCATTTTGTGGTTAAAAACAACTCAGTATTCCTATTTCACATAACAACGATGGCTAATGAGATCAAACAAAGGATTACCGATGTAAAAACAAACTGAGAAGAACCATACACTTCTACCCTCTCCATAACAAAAAGCCATGATAACTGAGGGTAGATGGGACATTTCTCGCATTTCAACTTGTAAAATAAACCATTTAGATTTCAGCTTCAACCATACATTGGAACATTGTCACCAGCACCATGAGGGCATTGAGTAAACTTAATCAAGGAAATGAAAGTTCAAATTTGAAATTACATGTGTGGTGATCAGATGGATATGTAAGTCTTTAATTGATGTAGTAAACCTACCATTGGACACATGTATCCATCACCATAAGCACGAGAATAATTTCCATCTGTATTGCCATAATAGTGAGAAACACTATAAGAAAGTAGAGGTAACTAAGTATATACCAGCACCCCATGATCTAGAATCAGAATTTGTAAATTCTTCCCGAAGCATTTCAACCTCATGAGCCATGGAAACCAAATTCTTTTCCATTGATTGTTTTTGATCCATCAACTTAGCACTTGCACTCTTCTCATAATCAGTAGCAACTCTACATGAAGGATCACAATAGTTAAAAAGATCCCATCTTTTAATACATACAAGAAATTTACAACAATAACAGGGATATCAATTGTCAATTGTCAATTGCCAAACCTAGCATGCATAAGCTCCTTGTGTAGTCCCTCAACCACTGATCTTAAAGCTGGAAGTTGCTTATTTCTAGCTTATAGTTTTTCAAGGTCTTTTGTGAGAGTATTAACTTGCCCAGATAGATCATCCCTAATAGAAATAAGTCTCTCTACTTCACCATGGAGTTGTGCAACTTCTTTTTTTAGAGGTTCAGTGGCGCACCAAAGATTGTAAGAACCTACACCAAGTGAAGACAATAAAAAAGTGCTTCGGTGTTTTTACTTTTTAGGCCAATAAATAATCAAAAGGTGTAAAATTAAAATATACCTTGGTTTCTGCAGCTAGATATTCATGTTCAAGGCTTTTTCTTTGTTCGATATCTTGTAAAAATTCTTCATCTGGGTCAATTGCTTTGTCATACCTACCACATTACCAAAACTGTAAACCCAAATTTAATATTTTTGATAAAAAGAAAAAAGAGAGAGAGAGAACTTTTCTTTTTTCTCTCCACATAAACTAATTTACAAACAAAAATAAATTCTTACCTTTTCAAGTTCTTCGCATGTTCCCTCAAAATGGCGATAGCGGGTCCCAGTGCATCCTTAAAAGAACAAGACATATATAAAAAACGAGTAAGATGCAATGAGATTATAGTTTATATGGTAAGTAAAAATGGAGTTTAACAAGTTTATAATTAATTACCTTATAAGCAGATAAAAGACTCCTAGCCACATTTATAAAGTATTCTTCATGAGTCTCCAATTCATCACTTGAGTATGTCGAATAAAACATAGTATTTTTCAGTAAGTGAATGTGTATATATACATTTGAATATGAAAATAATCAGAAATTACATACTTGACCTTCTTTTCCTTTTCCTCCATAAAAGAATACTGGAAATCCCAAGCAGCTTCTAGAAACTCAACAAATGCATTACAAGTATCTGCTTCTAGAGTTCATCCTCCTATGCCATGAATCATGATCATGAAATTCAGATTTGGGTTTATAACATGGAATTGTAAAATGTCATGAAATTATCCTATGTTTTTTAAACCTTAAATTGTATTGGGACCAAGACATTCCAACCTTTGACTTGAAGTGTACAAGAAGCTGATTATTAGCATCATCAAACTGTTCCCTTTCCTTTGTGACATTTTGAAGACAACCATTTGCAACAGACAACAAGTTTTTGACCTAAAACAGGGAGTTACTTTCAGACAATCACACTGACATATATATGATGCTCACTAATCGGAAGGCTGAAGACACCTTCTTTAATTCAGTTTCAAGTTTGTTTCTTTGCTTTTAAAGTTCATTAATTTCAGCTCCCAACTCCTGGAAATTGTCAAGTGACATTTTCAGAAGTATTTATAATAAAAGTATAGGGATTTGTACATCAATATTTCATTTAAAATGGATAAAATTCATCTAGCAATACATTTTCACTTCTGATGCAAAAGAGTAACTTTTTAAACCCAAAACTGCAGTACAAACACTTCATTGATGATGGTACTATTTACATAGTTTAACAAGGTGGCACTTGTATTAACTCCAATTCATAACATTGCAAGTGACAAGACATCTTAAAACATGTCATCTACTTATGACTTAGCACATAACACTACATGCAATTAGTGGTTCCCTTTTCTTGATTTTAGTTAATTTAACCATCATAAATAACAAGACAACTTCACAAGTGAGTGTACGCTGATGTACCTATATGTATATTTATGCACTCTGTTTGGACATGTTTCATATAATCAAACACAAAATTCCACTCTCTATGATTCCCAGAGTATAATATATGCACTAAATCTTGTTCCTAAAGGTATGTGACGGAGTTTGAAACCAAGTACATGCAAGCAACATGAAGTAAGAAATATCACCCAAATTTGATTGATATTCAAACCACATCATGTTTCGGAAGAACTTGTATGTTAGAAAATCCTTCTCAGTAAGCATTTATTCAACAGTCAGCACACATAAAGTGTCAAAACAAATGAATCATATAAGTAAGAAATATCACCCAAATAGCTCACATAGTAGCAAGATTTCTTCCTTGTCATACAAAAGAGTGAACCTGCGGTTAAACTCCATGAATCAACAAAAATAATCATCATATATAGTACTCAAAGAATGCATCATGAACTAAAGACAAACAAAAAGATTAAAATTCACATGAAATGATGAAATGAATTTAGGTGCCTTACTATTTATAAACGAATATTAAGTACAAATACTAGAGAAGACTTTTCTGAGGATTACTTACCATAGACATTGTTATGCCTGCAAGAGACTGACTATGCAACAAAACATCACGAAAATTCACTAGTGATACACCAAGATCTGGTTCATAGTATAACTCCTGTCAATCGAGAAAATAAGTGATGGATAAATAAGCAATCAGATTATATGATGAATTGGTAAAAAAACTCAAATAAAGCAACTGAGAAAATCCAACTAAATGCAATCTTCTATGTTCCAGTAAGATTCTAAAGCCTATATATAATTTGCATAAATTAACTGGTGCACATTTAGCAATTGGAGCAACATGAAAAATGGCAGAACGACAAAAATAGGGCAATATTTTCTCACTTACAACATCTGGATTTCCAAGAGAATGATTCTTATTATTTGGTGTAAGGAGAGAAATCCCTAAAAGAAATTGTAGAAGATTTCAATTCAATATTGATATGGTGATGTTAGGATGAGAGAGGAGAAAATAGAGCACAATCAAGATTTATACAGGTAAATGGAAATAATCTCACCTGAACATCGGGAATCACTCTAACTTCAGAATTTTGCATTGTCGGTTCCTATTTCAACCTGCTTCAGAAGGTGGTGATGGACTTACGAACGGCGGTGAGTGGTTGTCGTGTGGCTGCAGACGTAATGGTGGTAAATGGGGATTTATGTAGAACAAATGAGAAACCTAGTGGAGAATTGGATGGACCTGAATTCGAAGCCATAATCACCAAAATCAATGAGTTTTTCAGTATATGGTGATGAAAAAGGAGACCAATTGGAACGATCGATGAAAGAAACAACACCTAGGTAGAAGGATGACCGGGAAAAAGGCCTGCGAGCATCTGCAAAATCTAGGAATTGAAATTAGGCCTATAAATCATACAAATCGAGATATGGAGTGAGGTTTAGAGATTGAAAAATACACCTGTTGCAAGAAACATATGCAGATAAACAGAAGATTATGTGATGTTCTGGTATGCAAAGCCGGCGGGGTGCTTATCAAAAGCTTTGAGAAGCATCTAACTCGGTGTTCTTATCAAAAGCTTTGAGAAGCATCATAAGTCGTAACAATAATAGGTGCATTCTTCATGTTTCTTCTCTTTTCGTATCTGCCTCAGAGGGAGACTATGTCACACCCCCAAACCAGAACGGTGGAAACGTTCGGGGGTGGAGGACGTCATGTACAGTATCATAACAATGCATAATAGTAAAACAAGCAACAACATCATCCATTGCATTAATAATATAATTTAATACAAGTGTGTTCTGTATAGTTTGAAAGGCACCAAAATATGAATCAAAATATAGGTTGAGTCTTGAACATGCTCCGTCTTCTCAAAACCTGGTCATCTGAACCTGTCTATTGGAGACCTGAAAAATACAAGTTATTTTGAAAGCGTAGATCAGCATTTAAGCTGGTGATTTCATAAGTATTTTAGTGTCAATTGTTTGTAAAAGTTTGATGAAAATGTTTGTATGTGTTAATGTAAATGTTTGTAAGTGTCTGATGTAAATGTTTGTATACTTCCTAGAAAATCCTATATTTTCTACTAAAGTAGTCTTCTACCAAGACCCGACTGTCCTTTATGTTTGTTCTTTTGTAAAAGTGAGTATTTTCCCAAGAATGACTATCATTATCAAAATATAGTTTACATTACCGTTTATGTGAGAAGATCAATATATGAATGTAATGGGAAAATAACGATGTACAGTAGTATTGTATAAAGTAACTACAGATGTACTAACTACCTTAAAACCAGTTTGTTTAATTAAGGTAAAATGTGATGAGATTATAACCATACTCCATTAACTAGTGAAACACGGCGTTCGAAGACGTCGAAGTGGTATGACATTCGTCACCCGTAGGCCTGCATGTCCCACTGTATCTACCAGCAAGGTGTAGGATGGTCAATCCCGTATAGATCTATACATAAACTCACGCTCTCCCTGTAGGAGACTCTGGTTACAAAACGTGACACAACAGTATATTGTCGTGCCATGAAGTAGTGGCTCACATTAATGTTATCTTTGTTATTGTATTAGTGTAGTAGGCTCCTTCCGTTCTAGTGTATAGTATGTTCCTTCTGTTCTATTTATAGTATGTTTGAACTGACTCATGTATGAACTGACTCTTGTAAGTTTCATTGTTCTAGAAATAGTAAGTAGTAACTTCCTAACTATACTTATTATAGTTTACTAGTACTATTGTTTGAATGACTGATCATGTTTGTATACCTTTTCTACCCAAAGGTATTGAACTGATTGGAAGAACTTTTATATATATACATATACATAATATATAACTAAGATTCAAACGAAACTCGGACAAACAACCGATACCCTAAGTCCACAACCAAACAAGGAACAGGAAATAAAGCGAGTTACCAGTCCTAACCCCTTTCAACCTTATTTATATAACTATATCTATATAGACATGATTTGGACAATATATAAGTTTAAAAGAGTTTTGTAAAACAATAAAGAGTTGAACATATAAAGGAGTTTTAACCATTTGAATGGTTATTGGTGACTTGATGTCAGTTTAAAAAACGATTTGAAACAGTTTGTTTGATAATACAGTTTTGAAGTATAAGAAATCCTCTTGTATGACAGTTATAAATCACGTTTGATTGATGTTATAACTATATTGTTTACAACTTGTATTCCCCCCCCCCCATAAATGCATTTAAAATCATTTAAAAGATAATTTAGGGGTAAGAACTCACCTTTAGTGAGTGATTCGAATGAAAGATCGATATATGATGCTAAGTATCAAGTGAAGTCTTGAGCACAAATGGGTCCTATTAAGCATATAATGACACATATATGTATATAATTAGTGTATATAACAACTAATCATGTAAGGGAACAACCTTAGGGACTAGAAAACACTTGCAATGGAGTCTTACAATCACATATGATTGTATAAAGGGTGTTCACAGCCACACAATGGTGTGTTTACGGCGAAGATGTGTTCGCGGACAATGAGTTTACGGCCATACATGAACAAGCTAGGCTTTATGGCCATGACTTGAAGGGTTTACGACCATGACATAAACTAAGAAGGGTTTACGGCCATATGAAGATTTTACAGCCGTAAACTCTTGATGTTCATGCCAAAATGGTTGATTCTTGGTTGTAATTCAAGAGCTTCTAATGGATAACTAGTATAAGGAAAGGATACTTACGTTTTGGAAGCTTGAAGGGGGTGATTACGGCCCAAAGAACTAGTGTGTGTTCTTGGTGTTCTTGATGATTTGAAGATCTAACCCAAAAGAGATGAATTCAAGGATGAAATCATAGGGTTTTACTAGATTAAGAAGGATATCAACTAATAATGAAAGAATCACTTACAACTTTGACGAGAAATGGAAGTGATCTTGATGATACTTGAGAGAGAAATGACTGTTCTTGACTTGAAGGTGTGGGAAGTGATGAAAAATGAAGGAAATCCATACTTAAGAGGAATAGTTCATGGCTGGACTGTGACAACCGTCAAAATTCGAGTCGGTTCTAGATTTGACTAAACTTAGTTGCACGTACAGGCACGACACATACTAGACTTAGTAACTAGAAGCTAAGTTATAACCTACTAGGAACTTGGAAACAATTAGAAACAATGGATAATGTAATTAGATTTCATATTGATATGTGAATTCTACAACTACTTAACTGTAGAGGCTATCCATATTCGGGTCACTCTTTGACTCGAACACCTTTTCATGAATCATATACACACATTATGCACTTGACCTAGTGGTAAAAATTAGGTCGGAGTCTCGTGGAACTTAAGTCAAAGTTGAAACTATGACTAGTATACTTGGTTCTTCAAGTTCACTTGAATCTCGGAACCACTACATATAAATGCCAATAAACCGACAAAAAGGAATTAAAAACATTATTTATAACTATAAAAGAGTTATAAGACTCAAAAATAATTTGATGCCTCCAAAATTAAATCTACCTTGATATCTAAAGTTTAGTAAAATCCGAAAAACCCTAAAAACCCTAAAAGCCCTAAAAACTCATATTTATAAACTTTAACCTTAAAAATCCTATAAAAACAATTATGAACCTTATAATATTATCTTATCATAATAATTATTATGAAATACAATCATTGAAAAATAAAGATTTAGTTATTAACATTTACCCTTCATTTATAAGTCAAAAATCAAGAGTTTTATGCATAAAAACTAGGTTAAGGTGCACATTTTATAAAAAGTTGGATATTTTTATAAAAGATTTGAATTTTTATAAAAGAAACAAGAGAGAGGGAGCCTCTCCTCCCCTAAATTTCGTTCTCTCCCTCCCCATATCTCTCTCTCACACTCTCATTCTCCAACATACACACATCTCTCTTCTTTCTCTCTCTAGAAAACTCTCTCTACCTTCTCTCTAATTTTTTTTTTCTCCAAACACCACAACCACAGCCTCTTAACGACGAAATTATGGAGATTCATAAGGGGTTTTCAAGCCACAAATAAATTTAAGGTAAAGAACATACATCTCTTGAAGATCCACAACAATGATTTAAGCCATGCATGTGCATTTTACTTCAAAAATCGACTTCTACTTCTTCATCTTCTTCAAACTTGTTTTCTTTTTGTTAAAATGGTTTTTAGAACATCATGGATGTGTTCTAACACCATGCATGTATGATAAACAAGGTTGCATGTTCATGATCTTAGTGCAAAAATTGATTTTTAAGGACTAAAACATTAAACTCAAGTTAAGAGTTTTTGAGAAACAAAAATTTGTTCATAAATGCATGTATACATTTTGATAAGTTTTAATCTTTTGATCTCTGGAAACATGACTAAAATATGAGTTTATCATGATATATTTAAAATATTTCAAAAGATTTACTCAAGGAAATGATGAAAACTCACTTTTCTAACCAATCATCATGCATGCAATCTGCCAGATTTCTTTACCTGACTTTAAACTGCCATATCTCACTCATTTCTTAACCAAAATTCGTGATTCTTTTTCTGAAATATAATATTTTGAGTTAGCTTTCAAACCCATCTGACCTCACTGGAAAATTCCAATATGTCGATAATTTACCAATTTTTACAAAACTGTTGCTCAAATAGCACTTTCGTTATGAACATTTGTTTTGTGTTGCATGTTCAAAGGACTTATTCATCACTAAAAATCATTCAAAAATTATTTTGAACTCTTAATATCATGTATTAATAGGTACAAAAAGATCTTGATTCAAAAGTCTTTGTAACATGTTGCAAAAATTCTCAAAGTAACATCAATAATCTTTACAGAAATCACAAGAACCAAGTTTTCTCTATAATTTATTGAGCCTTTAGGCCTGGTTTTCAACATCAAAAATAAGAAAACAATTTTTCATTCTTATTAAATTGTATGAAGATGCATTCTGGAAAGTTTCAGCGCAATATATATTTTCTTTATTTTTATATGAAAATAATAAGAAAATAGAGTGTTAAATCATATGAAATACTTACACTAGTAAATAAATTCTGTAACAATTCTTGCATGATCCTTTAAGTTAATAAACATCTCCCATGAAGTTTCAACGACTTTTGTTACTGTTTAATATGCTTTTGAAATTTCTTCTTGTTTAGCTCTAATAAATCATAAAACCACATTAGGGAATATAAAAAGAGTATCTAATAATTTTCGCAGCTTCTACCCTATGTGGAAGACTCAGGAAAATATTTTGGAAATTTTTCAAAATGTATAT